AAGAGGTAACAGGTTAACATATTGGCATATTATCAGGCAATAATCAATCCATGTTGATGGTGGGAAAGGTAGGGATAAAATAATTCACATGAAGGACACAAGTAACAAATAGCAAAGGGTATTCCAAGGAGGTGTCCAAGGTCATTTTCACATCCTTCATAACCGTATTACTCATCTGTAACATGGCACTGAGATGGAGAAGTTGGATGAGGAAGGAAGAAGATGAAAGACTGGTATGGCAATCCCAAGAGCAGAGCTAACTGAGAAAATTCCAGCCTGGCATGGTAGATCCAATGGACACATGCTAGATACAAGGGTTCATTGGTCACTTTCTCATAAGGTTAGTCTATCACTGCTCCCAGACTTTTAACTCCCATTCTAATTTAGGGAAGGTTCATTTCTTCCTATTTGGAAGGATTCCCCACTTACTAAGCTAGAACCAGTCCTATTCCAAGTTTACATAGTATAGTGGTTGAGTACTTGGGCTCTAAAATCTTTGAGATTTAGGTTTGAAACTTTACAGCATTTCCTAGTAGTGACACCTTAGATAGGTGACTTAAATTTTCTTCAAGCCTCAGATTCCTCACCTGAAAAGTGGGGATGCCCTTTAGAGCTGCTGTGAGAAAACAAGGAGCTACTGCAGGTAAATAGCTCAGCACAGCTCTAAGATTGCTAATATTAGCTATCTCTATTATTGCTGTCATTGCTATTTTACAGCATTGTGTATTTTCAATATGAACAATTATTAAAGAATTGACTCTGGGCCCAAGATTCAGCTGAGACTTACTCGCTTCATTGAACTTACTTATATAAAAAGTAGGGCAAACTTCTTGATTTAGTCCTAAGGTCAAATCAAATGTGAATTGGATCAGAGAGGCAAAAGGTAATGAATTTTCTGGGGCATGCATCCCAAGGTATCCATGCCCCAGTGAAAGGAAGTTCCAGTTCCAAATGATCAACTTACATTATCAAGAATCAAGGGATTCATGACAAGAATAACTCAAATGAGTCTGGAATACAGTCTATTTTTATTTCTGTAACAGATTAATATTGATTCTAACCTTTGCTTGTACTCATTAAAAAAAAAAAAATTGTGTGCAGTTCCTGAGCACACACTGGCTAACTAGGCAGCCAAAACAAGGAATTTAGGTGTGTGCAAAAAAAGTAAGGGAAAGAATTAAGGATAACAGGTAAGTCTTGATGTGGAGTATATTCATTAAGAACATCAAGAATTCACAGATATCTATCTAAAACACTTGGAGTTCTTTGGCAGAAAAACAGTATTTTCAACATAAATGTAAAATATCATCACCGCCATCCAAAACAGCTTGCACTTTTCAAAGATAATCACTTGATCCCTATTGGGCATTTCTTAAAGGGTCTGAAAATGAGTACCGCAATAAGTCAGATATGTTCTTTTTAAACATGATCATCATACTGTACACTTGATACTTACGCTGAGAGCTCAGATCTTCCTTTCCTAGTATAATTTTCATCTAAGCATTCCTTAGGTACTTAGATCATTCTTAATGGAGATTGTGCATTATACCCTCTGTGGACACATAGAAATCTAGCTAATTGGACTTACTAGATTACAATAGTTAATGAATTCCAAGCTTAAGATATTGTCACCTATTACGTAAATTTTTAAGATTGCAATCATTCACTAAACCAGTGTTTATAGGCAAAAGTTTTTTTTTTTTTTTTATCATTCTTTTCAATAAATAAATTTCCTTCAGAGTCATCCTTCAGTATCCATGCGGGATTGGTTCCAGGACCTCCAAGGATCCCAAAATCCACTGATACTCAAGTCCCTTATATAAAATGGTGTAGTGCTGCATAAAACCTACACACATACTTTCATATACTTTAACTTATCTCTAGATTACTTACAATACCTACTGGAATATAAATTCTATGTAAATCATTGTTACACTATATTGTTTAGAAGAAAAGGCTATACAACATGTTTAGTACAGGCACAATCATTTTTTTTCCTGAATATTTTGATCTTCAGTTGGTTGAATCCATAGATGTGGAACCTATGGATAGAAAGGGCTCGCTGAACTTTCAAACTACATTTCTGTTCTTGGTGGTATAAAAACTGGGTGTCTTAATAGTTTGAAATGAACCTGTGGCAGGAATAGTTATCATTCAAATGCTACAGAAATCGTAACTAAACATAAGCTTTTCAATAAAGCATTCTCTTTCAGCCCCAGCATGCCCATGAGAATGGCACAGCCTTTTACAAAAAAAAACAAACCAGGTGACGTGATTGACTATCTACTCATCAAATCCTTACCTGAACATTCTTAAACAATTTATATTTTAAAAGCATCTTGTTTCATATTAAATGTTGTATCCCAGAAATACCTTGATAAATTATTTCCTGTCTTGGCCAAAATAAGGTAGCTAGCCAATGATAATTTAGTACTGTCTCTTTAAGTGCTAGGAAGAGTACCTAATTCTAACGGTTACTATCCCCATATATTATACCTGTCAAAAATTGTTAAACTCTAATGAGTCAGATTGCTGAAAATAAACTCCACACTTCCATTCGAAAGTATGAAAGTAAACGCTGAGTGGGAAAAAGTTTACCCTCACTCCCAGTGTAAATGAGCACAGAGAGGAAGTAGAAAAACTCCAGCTATTTGCTATAGACACAAACATGCACTGACCTCTATGATCCACTAACGATGAATGCTCCTACCCCTAACATGAAAATGTTGGGAAAGGGAGGGGAAGAGAGAGGGCTGGAAGAAGAATGTTGTGTGCATATCTGCCATCTTCTCCCAGTACATACAAACAACAACAACAAAAACACCTCCTTCCATTCTTAGAGATTTCCTGCCTCTTTGAGAGCAGATTCGGAATGAGAGTGGACTCTGGGAAGGAAAGCTTTTCTCCTGTCCCCGCCATACCCTGGTGAAATCTCCTCCCTGCTGCAAAGCGGTGCGGTTACTGTTTGAGGGGCATAGCCCAGACACAGAAATCTGAAATTTCAAAAATGCGATAAAGCCCGAGCCCGGCAGCCCTGGGAGGCGAGCAGCTGCTGGGTGACCGCTGATGAAGTGGCTTCTTAAGGAGGTGGGCAGATTGATTCCAGCTGCTGAGCGCAAGGCAGGGCAGCGGCTCGGAATGCACAGCCCGGCTGAGACAAGACTCAGCAGCAGCTTCCCAGGCAAGGGCAAGGCCAAATAGTAGCTGTTTGCAGTCCTGAGAAAAGGAAGGAAAATGCCACTGTTTCATCCAACAGGGGGACTTTCAAGGCAGGATGGCCCAAAGGTGCCATGTGAACAGTGTCACTTCGTAAGTGGAATGTCACTCAGAAAATCTTAAAGCTGTCCTCTGAGATGGCTGTTCAGAAGGTCCCACAATTCCTAAGACGAGTCCTTTCTGCCTGATTCCTGTTTTTCTTCCCCCTCTGGCTCCCAGCTCCTGGTATCCTTCTAATAACTCTAAACTCCTGCTCAGCCTCCCTGGCTCCCCATCCCATATAATCAATACACAAGAAGGACTCCAGAGGCAGACATGGAGGAGGTGAAGAAGACCAGCCGGAGACACTGAGCACCCTGGAGCTGACCTGGATGGGGACAGTGGAGAGGACATGCTCTTCGGAAGAGCTTGCTTCAAAGTGGGAGAGCTAAAAGCAGAGAGGGGGACTAGTTTAGGAGTCCCCTGAGGGCCCCAAACTCAGACAGCAAGTGATCTAAGAAGAGGGAAGGAGTAAGAGAGGTAGGCTGGCATGAAAGCACGCCTAATGCAATATTCAATATCCTGAGAAATGTACTTTCGGCCCTGCACTTCCAGAGACTAAAAGCCAGTAATGGGCTTTGGAGTCTGCACTTCCTCTCCCTAATGTCCAGAGGCGCTTTAATGCTGCAGCCAATCGATCAGCCTTCTCCGGTGAAGGCAACGAGTGGAGTGCAAAAGCTTCCTACTTGTGGCCAAAATCCACCCAGCCTCTTCTGCACACCCCAAACAAGCTACATACAACTTTGAACTGGTAGGATTTGTGTCTTAAAGTGCTGGAAAGTAAGAAAGGAAGGAGCCCTGGAGGCGTCCAGAGAAACAGACTACCCTCACCCCTCCGCCCTCTTCATCCCAACTTTTCCAGGAAGGGATTCAGAGGAAAACAAAAACGGAGGGCGTAGTATCCACCTTGGGACAGGGCTGAGGAGCAGACCCAAATCTGCTTCAGGTGCAAGATCACCGAGCAGACTCCAAGCACAGGGCAGCCCAAGGTATCGCACTTCTGGAAGACACACAATCAGAGCAAAGGAACGTCCAGAAGGTGGGGTTTCTTTGCAATGTCTTGCTGACATCACAGCTGCCTTGAAAGTGACCCTGTGAATAACCCCTCTCTCCTCCGCCTGGCCCCATGCTCCAGGCTGGATCCCTGCCCTACAGACAAGCCCCTGTCCCGCCTCTCCCCCGGCGTCCCCGAGCCCGCCAGCAGAGCTCGGGTTCTGGGCAAGTTCAGTCCCTAAATTGAACCCAACCCTATCCAGCCTCCACTCGCCCCTCCCTGGGAGGCCCGGACAGCCCCACTGAGCATGTCCAGTGGCCCGAGTCCCGGGGCTGCCACTGCGAAGCTCTCCAGGCCCCCGAATGGGCAGGGTTGGGTGCCTGCGTGGACGCCCCCAGCAGGGCGCACGAGGGACAGCCGCGCGACTGCAGCCGAGTGTGGAGGGCACAAGTTAGCTCGCGCGAGGAAACTTTCCGCGGTGCTCCTCCCCACCCCCACAAGCCACAGGGGCGCGTCTCCCAGAGGAGCTCGCCTTTCCCAGCCCGGCGGAGACAAGCACAGCACGTGATGGGCAGAAATAAAAATAAACACTTCCCATTCCCGGGCCGCGGGGCCACCCCCACTCCGCGCGCCGCAGCGAGCGAACAGGGGGCGCCCTAGGGCGACCCGCCCCCGCCGCCGCCGCAGCCCCCAGCCTCTGCGCCGCCTGCCCGCCGGGACCTGCACCCGGGCCCGCGGCCTCCGCGCCTACCTTTCGGACTTGGTGAACTTCCGGAACGCCTGTCGGAGGTCGTGGAAGGACCTGTACGTCTGCGGCTCGGCCGAGATGCCTTGCGCCCGGGTGGTCCGGGGGCCGATGTGGGTCGAGGGCACGGGCAGCACCGACTGGCATTTGTGGAGTTTCCTCTTCAGCTCCTGGATTTCCTCCTCCTTCTCCGACAGTCGCTTCTCCAGCTCTTTGATCCTCTCCTCCTTGAGCATGAGAATCTTGGCAAAGTCTTCCTCCAACTCGCTCATTTTCTCAGAGCCCCTCCGCGAAACTTTTTCTCGGGCGGCGGCGGCGGCGGCGGCGGCGGCTGGGACGGCAGCCGGGAGCGGCGGGCGCGGGTGAGCGAGTGAATGGGCGCTAAGTACTCGAGCGCCGCGGAGTGCGCCCTTAATGCGGCGCGGGGAGCCGCCTGCTTCGATCCGCTTCTGCTGAATGGACTAAAAGCACCGAGGGGAGGATGAGAAGTCTAAAAGCGATGGAGAGGAGAGGCAGAGTGCTAATCTCCAGCCTCTCCGGGGAGTAGGTGATTATCTTTCATTGAGAAACCAATTAGAGCTGCCCTTCCTCCCCTGAGACCCCCTCCCCCGTCCCCCTTTCCCAGTCGCTCCGTGAGAATACGCGCGCGCCACCCCACCGACAGCCGAGTTGCTAGCAGACGGTTGGATCAGAGAGCCTGGTCCCACTCCATCACACAAAACTCACTCTTCCACGCTATATGGTACCAAGGGAAGGGGGTGGGGTGGGGGGGAGCTTTATGCCACTTGATCCTTGAAATAGCAACAATTACCATGTGATCTGGCGGATGACGCAGCGCTTGTAACTGGATCCTAAAGAGTGTGAGTGTGTGTGTGTGTCTGTGTGTGACATTTCATAAATATTAAACTGCCTTTAGACAGTAACCTGCATAAATGCGTCTTGGTCTTCGCCTTTTACTTCTTTTCTGTTCTTGATGCCTGGATGGATTCAGTAAGGAAGGGGTGTGTGTGTGTTTGTGTATGTGTGTGTGTGTGTTACTGTGAAGTCCCATGGTTGTGACCCCAGTAAGAATGACAGGGCAATACCAGTTCCAAGGTTTTTCAGCGTAAAGCCTTACTGGACATAGTGAACTAAAATTGTTGGTGGGGAAGTTGGTTGAACATATGTTAATGAGCCAAATGATTACGGAAAAGAGAAAGACCATGCGTTAATTGTAAACTTTTTGTGTCTGAGTTTTTTTTTTCATCTACTACCGTTGGTTCAATGTTATATAGAGAGCATCCAAATTATATCACAACCTCGTCCTCAGTGGCTCTGAAGTGGTGGCCACCAGTGTTAAGCTGGGTCATCCTACCAGTTCCAGTTTGGGGGAAGAAATTGCATCTTTAATTATCTGTGTTTAGGTCTTACCTGTGCATCCACCATCTACCCTAGGCTAAAGGGATTATTATTCGACACAGTAGAATAATAGGGTATTCACAGATTCTTATACTTTCCTTTTTTATCTGTACATATCACAGAGAGTATTTATTTGAGAGTTTGATTTGGTAGTGAGTGAGAGGTATTTCTTCAGATAATAGTCAACACATTAATAAATGTTTTTTTATGAATAGTTGCAAAAAGATACCAAAAGATTCTTTCCTAAACAGTAACCTTCCTTAAAAAAAGAAAAATCAATGTATAATTACTGGCTACTTACAAAAAAATTATTCTACCTTGTCTGAAACAACTAAGTAAAGGAAAAACAAGTGTATATGTTATTTGGAGATTTGTTTATTATTTACTGTTCTACTTACCTGATTATTATACATTAAAAATGTTTTAAACCACATCTGAATTTCTTAATTGCACCAGATGCTAAAGTCTAGCTACATCTACTGATGTTTGAGAAAGGGTTCTCTATGTTGTTGACAGTTGCTATTCTGTTGCTTCCGTCTATTAATCTGCTATAATCCTTTTATAAAAACTAAAATAATTGACATTTTAAAATAATACATTAGAAAAAAACTTTGATCACATTCAAAAATCTAGGCATAGCTTCAAATAAATCTATTTACAGAATAAATAAAAATAGTGTTAAAATAACTCTTAAAAGGTTTTTTCCAAGTCTTACATTATAAGTGAAGATATTCAAATGTTTCTTCTGCTTATTAAAAAAAGGAACCTTTAAACTTAGATTTCAAACACACACCTGAAAACCCTAAATTCATCCCCATCTTCCAAAATAAAAGTTATTTTTTAATAAGTCAGTTTTAATTTAAATAATGTTGATTGCTAGTGACATTAAATCTTGTCCATTGGCTTAAGAAGTATTTAATTTAGACCATAAGGAAACCTTGAGAAAAGACATGCTGGTAGAAGAATAAACACTGAATTATTAAAAATCATGTCATAGTACATTAGAGCTGAAGAAACTTTGAAGATGATCTAACCCAACAACCTCATATTATAAAGGAGGAAAATTAGATCTTGAGAGGAAAAGTCCAAGATCACTTCAAGGGCAGAAGTTTGAGCCCAGGACACCTAATACCTATAAAGCATGCTTTCCCTCTCATGTTGCTGCTAGCGTAGATCCCGAAAATTTAGAAATTTTATGATTCTGATGATTCAGTGTTGAAAGATGTGACCTTACCCTCTGTTGCTTACTTCTAAATCTGTAGTAATAACATTGTCAAAGCAGGGGTATTAATGAAACCGTAGATTTTTTTTTCTTAAAGGAGAAGGTCGCCATCTAGTGCCCTTGGAGAAATTTGCTAAATAAAAATCTCAATCACAATGAAGTTGGGGTTATGTCCTTAAATACCTGTCCCAGTGTTTTCATTTCATATTTGTGAGAAATAAAGAAAAGATGCAGAATTTTGTGTCAGACTAAAAATCTTTTGTTTTTACATTTGATATCTTTTAGCCTGGATGATGACAATGATGACTGTCAACATTTATTGAGTATTTAATATGTGCCAGCCCACGGCTAAGCCCTTTGTGTAACTGATCTTAATCTCCACACTTACTCCGTAAGATAGGCACTAGTACTTATTTCTGTTTTATACATGGAGAAGCTGATGCTTGGCCAGACTAGATAATTTACCCGTGGCCACATTTTCCAGATTTGACCCAGGTTGTCTTAATACTCTATGCAGCACTGCTTCCACTCAAAATGCATTAAAATATTCACTTCTCGGTGAGCCCAGGTGACAAGCAAAACTAAAATATCTTTCTCAATGGAACACAGTAAGTGTAAAAATCACATATAAACCCAGATAAATTCCTAAGATTCTAGTGTTTAACAATCAATTTCCTTACCGGAGTTGTTTTCCTTGCGATATTTTGGGATATACTATACATTTCATATATAATTCCAATTTTTGAAAGCACAGATGCTTAAAAATTGAAATTATATATGAAATGTATAATATATCCCAAAAGGACACTTTCTAGAAAGGCTGAAAGCGTATAAGATGTAAGCAGCTCTTCTGGGATTCCTGTACTTTAATCCAGGACAGCGTCACAGTGGTCAGTGAGAGAACAGGTCTATACAAAACTTAAAAACAATAATAAAACTGACTAAAAGTTAACCTGCTTTTTATTGCCTCTATTTACCAGAAGTTACAAGTATCAGTAATAGAATATTCCTCCCCCTCCCAAAAATATTCTCTTGGTCTAAGTACAAAGGATTACTGTGTCTACTGTTGAACAGGTGGACCACACTCATCACCCCACCCTTTGGAATAACACTGACCTTGGTGCATATTGTACACATTTAGACCAAAGAAAATTGTCATGTGCAGGGGGTTTTAGCTTCACATGGATAGCAGCAGAAAAACTCATAAAAGAGGTTTGGGGAAGTGAAAATTGAGTTTGTGAAACGGGTAAGGATTCCCAAAATTCAAACCATATCTTTAGTCCCAAATACTTGCTGTGGTCATAAAAAATGAAAAGACTTGTGAAAGACTGGAAGCAATACATTTTGCACCAACAGATGCAATTGGTGAACTAATGAGTACTGAACTTAGAACCAAAAGATTGATATTCACATCTCAGTTCTGTCACTTCTTGAGCTGTGTGCCCTTAGGCAAGTTCCTTAACTTCTCTGAGATCACTTTCATCATTTGTAAAAGGAGTTACCTAGGGTCCCTTTTACCTTGCTACCTTCAATGGTTCTGTGGAGCTCCACTTACCCTGTGACTCACATTCTGAAATTATCAATCTCTTCTTATAGACAACATCCATCCAGTAACTTGAACTATGTTTAAAACTTCGAGAAGAAAGAGTTAAGATGGAATCTCATTGGTCCTATAAAAATTACTGTGTACTGTTTGATTAATAGAATATTATTTTCTATTCATTCTATATCATGCTAAATGTGGCTTTAACATTGTCATCTGAACCAGCCATGTTGTTTTGATCATAAAGTGTGGTCACACCTTGGGCAAGATAAAATCTTGAAGTCCTGAAACACACCCACATTGACATTAACCAACACACAGAAAATGAAAATAGCAAATGAAATGTTGCCTTAATTAAACAAACTTCAAAACTAGTTGGTTTCTGTTTACTGGATTTCCATAAAGAATCCTAAGAGTTATATATATTTTTTGAGACAGAGTCTTGCTCTGTCACCCAAGCTGGAGTGCAGTGGCGTGATCTCGGCTCACTGCAACCTCTGCCTCTTGGGTTCAAGTGATTCTGCTGCCTCAGCCTCCCAAGTAGCTGGGACTACAGGTGTTTGCCACCATGCCTGGCTAATTTTTGTATTTTTAGTAGAGACAGGGTTTCACCATGTTGGGCAGGCTGGTCTCAAACTCCTGACCTCAAGTTATCCACCCAACTTGGCTTCCTGAACTGCTGGGATTACAGATGTGAGCCACTGTACCCAGCCCACAACAGTAATTTTTTCCAAAAACATAAGCTCCTATAGAAAAATGTATATAAATTATTTTCACAATGTGGTCCTATTGATGTAAATCAGATTCTTTCTCATGTAGGCATACAAGAAGACCATTGCCTTTTATTATTTTCTGTGATATCTGTCTATGGGTTTAAAAAAAGTAGTTCTTTTTAGAGATCTTGAAAAATAAAACTGACCTAAAAATGCTGATATTTAATATATTATAGAAATAAAATTCTGCAGTAAATTTAAAACCATGGACCTAAAATTTGGAGACAAGGATGCCATGTATCTTGAGGAGGCCAATAATTTCATCCCCCTGAGACTCAATTATCCCAACTGTAAAGTGTAGATATAGATACCAAATTCTCCTGCACCTGGTAAGAATCAAATGAAGAGGAAAGCCAAATATCATTTATTATTTAAATGTAACCCTATATAAATAAATATAAGTAACATGGTAATGTAATCCGTTCTTTGATTTTTTGGTAAGAGGATAGCTCACCAGGGGAGAGAGTAGGGGATGGGCACAGGATTGGTGGTGGTGGTGGTAGTGGTGAGAATGTTTGTACTGCATTTATATCCCCAAGATTTCCATCCCCGATGGTATCTTCTCCCAGTTACTCAATCAATGCACAATCCAATACTAATAAAAGGGATGTCGTGAGAGAATTTTTAAACGTAATTAACATCTCGAGTCATTTGACTTTAATGGAGGAAAATTATCTGTGTGGGCCTGACCTTATTAGGCGAGTCCTTAGAAGAGATCAGCTCCTCTTGAGATAGGGATTTGAAATGCGATTGGGATTGGACTCAAGAGAGATCTCCTGTTACTGGCTTTGAGAATGGAGCAGGCTGCATGGCAAGGAATGCAGGTGGACTCTAGGGGTGTAGAGCAACTCCTGGTTAACATCCAGTAAGGAAGTGGGGACCTCAGTCCTACAACAGCAAGAAACTGAATTCTGTCACAATCGCATGAGCTGGCAAGAGGACCTGTAGCTCCAGGTGAGAAAGAAGAATGGCTAATACTTTGATTTCAGCCTGTGAGTCCCTGAGCAAAGATCCTAGTCACGCTGCTGTACCCAAACTTCTCACTTCCAAAACTGTGAGATAAGTTGGTTTTAAGTCTCTAAGTTTGTGGTAAAGTTTGTCAGGAAACAACTAAAAACTAATAAATGACTCGACTACCATTTAAAAAATATCCTTTAAAAACACTAGAAATGTAATCCATTTTCAGAAGACTGCCTTACCAAAAGGGTCCTTTTCAGTGAAACTATAATGCATTTCTAATGGATGCTTGAGCAACATTAAACATTGCTATAAATTATAAACTGCTTACAGCATACTGATGACAATATGAACAGCCTTCCATAAAAGATGTTTATGTGTAAAGCAGAACACTAATGTGACTTAAGTGTAAATCTTCCAAACATACGTTCTAGAAAGGATTGAAACCATTCATTAAACTACTACACAGCAGAAATATTACTGTAATTTCCCTATGTAGAGAATCAGTCTTGTGACTTAGAACAAATACATAGTTGGCTAAGCCTTAGTTTTCTTATCTGTAAAATATCAACAAATCTCTTGTGTAGTATTATTTATTTTTTAAAAAGTATTTAGCTATGGATATATACTTAAATAATTTTGGATTCTCATTAGTCAACTGAATGTGTATCCATAGTTATCTGTGGAAAGTAAGTGCTCCTACATCCTTCAGCCTTCCAGTTCAAATCCTAAAGTCATATATTTGAGGAGACTTGGAAGATTTTTTAAAATACAAATCTTTTTTGAGTTTAGTTTTCTATTTGAATTTTTTTTTGATTGTAGAAATGATAGAAATTGGACTCGTCTGCCTAGGAC